TCTAGGGACCTGTCAGAAGTACACTTCCTTAGTCTCTGCCGCAAGCATGGGCGGTGTGGAACTCAACATCCTGTGTTTTCATAAGCCTGCAGGTGATCCCGGGGAGCCCAAGCTGGAGAACCAATGCTCCCACGGCTCACTCTAGCTCTTTGATTTCTCATCAGCCTTTATGTCCTAGACTTTTAAGTACTATAAATGTAAAATAAGAACAGAGCAGAGCATCCCCCAAAGAAACAGGTTTATGTGAAGTGACGGAGAAATATATTGTGGGATCTGCAGGCTGTAAAGGATCATAGAAGCATTCCAAGACACTGATAAGAGACTTCTAAAGGCTAAAAGAATCCATCAGCTGTTTCCAAAAAAACCTTGTTGGTCAAGGTATCCTGCGGCAGGTCCAGTGTTATACCATTGGAGGAGACAGCCAGTGCTAGGCAGGTGTTCTTGGGGAAGGGCCAGTTTTGAGTGGTGTTAGGCTAGAAGGAGTTCCTGGTAGAACCCTGTTCTAGGGGCATACGCTGGAGGGGCTGGACATGGGGGAATGTCTCATGGGCTTATATTAGAGTCGCGTGTACAGGGTCTCCTCAGTCAAGATTTGACTCCACTATTGTTTTGGTCTGATGTGACTTTGCAGCAACATTGACAAGTTCCACAACACAAACTGTTTAAGTGGTGTTTATGTAAATCATGTGTCACCTCTCTTTTTTATTAGATACCTTCTCTTTCCTACAAGCACCTGAAAAGCAAATTCTCAGATTGCAGACAGTCCTATAATAAAGAGTTAGATTGCCTTTTCTGTAAAGAAAAAGATAAACTGACTCTTCACTCTGATTTACACATGCGTAGTGCATCTCTCAATGCAAACCAGGAAATGATGTCTCTGCTGTCATCCTGCATCTATCGCTTTCGCTATCCAAGAATGGCGGGTCAGACTCTGGCACATGCACACTTGACCCCACATGAGGACTGGTCATGTCAAGATGCTCGTCCTTGTCCAGGTTAAAGACAAAGTAAGAGCAATGAAGGGACACACAATCAACACGTAGTTTATTAATTTTCCCATAATCCAAGCCAAGAGAATGAAGCCATTCTCCTTGAGTTTTAGAAACAGCAGCCCTACAGGCAGATGATCCTATCAAGTCACCAGTCCCTAAGTAATAACAGTTATACCATGAAGGAACCATGAGTGTCCCTACCCCGCCCACCAACTAAGCAGGAGTTATCTCATGATAGAAAAAGAATTGGGTCTGGAATAACAAGATCTCTCCGGGATCTCACAGAGTCAGGACTGAAAACCAGGCCACAGTGGGATTGAGGCTGCTTAATTAAGCACCCCCGTGTCGGAAACCTGAAGTCGGGTCTGAGGATGCTGCTCCCCCAGTTTCCACATCACAGCTCCATGATTAAATCCCTTTCTTGACTTTCCATGTGGCTTTCTCACTTTGATTTCTGGATTAAGAAGCCAGCGCCCACCCCAACCCCCAGATACTTACAGTTCTGTCTTCAGATGAACCCAGCATTAAACCTAAGTGGTAAGATAGCGTGTGCTTCTGCAGCAGCAAACTGTGATGCGCAAAACAATCCCACGCCAGTTAGTATTTAAAGGGGCATTTATTTTGGGGTTAAAACTCACAAAGCACCAACCTTCAGGAAAGGAGCCTAGTCACCGGAGCAGGAGCAGGAATTAAGCGCCGGAACCAAGAGAGCTGTGGGGCGCACACCCGCCAGATTTATAGGTTTATATTGGCCTAAGGGGTACCCACCCTACAAACACGGTGATTGGCTGGGGCTGCCTCTTCAAAACTGAAGAAGGCATTTAAGATGGACACACAATTATTCTGCTGGTATTTTTGTTGAGATAATGAGTAGAGAGATTGAATTTTGCTCAAAAATGTAAGTATATATTTTACTTTTAGAAAGAAAATCTGAATATCACATTATAGAATAATATAATGAAGTGATTTGGTCAATAAGCACCTTAAAAGTATGAAGAATCAGCTATTTTAATGCTATGTTTAATTTTCAACTATACCCAGTTCACATAAAACATTTATGATAATCCTAGCGATGAACAATCCATACAGCTTCTTATGTTTGGATTTTCATATAAACCATATTTCACTGTGAATTTTTATATAAACCATATTTCACTGTGAATTTTTATATGAACTACATTTCACTGTGGATTTTTATATAAACCACATTTCACTGGACATCCCTTTGCAATTCACAACTTTAAGAAAAGCCTCAGCTCTGCCTGTGGATTTGCCAACATGATACACTTAGACCACTTAACTGTGGACTCATCATAGGTGTTCAGCATCACACTTTAAAGACAGCTGTTCTTCCTATTTTCCATAACCTTGCAAATCTCTGACACTATCCTGAATCCAAGGGTCATCGAAGATGCGTCTTGAGGCTCACATGCTTCCGTGAAGCTGTAGAATTGCTCCCTGCGGTGGCTTCAATAGAATGGTCTTCGCAGCACCATGTATAAAAACACAGAACAACTTACATTTTAACTTCATCTGTCGGTGTTAATTTTGGGGTCAACATTATGATTCGAACTGACTCTTTCCATTGTTGGTCAGAATATGAATGCTTATTACAGCATTAATTACTTAATGCAGCTTTTCTATGAACTGTCACTTTATCCCTGTTTATGTGGCCTCTTGCTTGCACGCCCATCAAGCTGATCGCCATCTAAATTCACACCGATGCTCACTGCTTGTTTCCAGGTGCTGTCCCCCACAACCTCAGCCCTGTTCTTGGCTGTGGTGAATCCTTCAATAGCATTTGCAGGCTGAGGGCAGACCAGCTGGCTTAGCAGGCTGTCTTTACCCTGGCCTTGAGCAGAAGTTTTGGGGTACTGAATTGTTATTTCAAGGTGTAGCTCTTGGCAATCAGCTACCGCCCCACTCCTTCTATTCTCTTGCTTCTCTTGGGAGCCACCCAGGTTGTTCTCATCTGGCCAATGTTGGCTCCTTTTAATTTTAGGACCTCTTTGTCTTGGGTGTTCCTTCCTTTATGAGGTGAGTTCAGAGTTACTTGCCATGGTTAGGAGCAGTACACACAACGCGATCCATACTTCCATGTAACTACAGCTGGGAGCTGGGTTGCTGTGCTGTTCTTTGTTTGTTGTTCCTTCTTTTCTTACTACAAGATCACCATTGATGGCCTTAAAAGCCAATTAAACAGTATTTAGGAATTTTAACAGAGCCATTTTTTTCTTTTATTTTTATGATTCAACCCTTCTGGCCTCAGGATCTCTGGTGCTGAGAAAGCCATAGTGGTCCAGGCCTAGCTATGTCTATGTGGGAGAACAAATGAACGACACTGGAGAGTCTATGACCAGTTTTTATCTGTATGTGCACCTCAAATGACTATTGTTCTGCCATTACTTACTCATATCAGATAATAAATACTTAAGGAAATATATTAATATCATTACTATCTATGTCCCCTCTAAACCTAATTACAAATATGATATTAAGACGTGGAATCCTCTGGACTGCGGGAGTGGGATTAATGTCATAAAGAAATTCATGATGGATCACTATAGTCAAACAGGAGACTAGTTCACCTTAATATATAGGTGCCTAGAAAATATAGACCACAAAATATGTCTCTGGTGTGAGGATTATTTTGAACTATTGTTTCAAGAAACAGTGGGCCCATCATTTGCAATTGTAGGCATGGAATGCTTCTGTAACATGAAGCCACGGTCTTAATATCCTCAGGGAAAGCCAGCAACATGGTGCCTTCTCAGAAACAGATGCCAGACACTTCCAGACTCCTAACCTCTTGCTGTCAACTCCACCTTTGATGGCCCAGCTTCCAGAAGAGTGAGGAACACTTCCCCATGTACTAGACATGATCAGCACTGAGCATTTGCCCCTACATAACTTCACTGAGGGGAGGTATTTATTAACAAGGAAAATGCTTGAAATGACTGTACTGACATCATAACCAGGGGCCAGACAATGTTAAAGAGAAATTAAAAACACCTTTGGCTTTTTAAACCTTCTTTTGCTCTGAAAATTAGAAAACAATCTACCTCAGGATCCAGCAAAACTACTTTTAGGCATATACCCAAAGAATGCTCAATCATACCACAAGGGCATGTGCTCAACTATGTTCATAGCAGCGTTGTTTGTCATATCCAGAACCTGGAAACAACCTAAATGCCCCTCAACTAAAGAATGAATAAAGAAGATGTGGTACATTTACACAATGGAGTACTACACAGCAGAAAAAAAATAATGACATCTTGAAATTTGCAGGCAAATGGATGAATCTAAAAAAACATCATATTGAGTGAGATAACCAAGTAAATGACTTTTAGACATAAAGCAAAGAAAAACCAGCCTGCAATTCACAACCCCAGAAAACGCAGACAACAATAGGACCCTGAGAGAGACATACATGGATCTACATAAGAAGGAGAAAAAGACAAGATCTCCTGAGTAAATTGGGAGTGTGGGGATCATGGGAGAAGGGAAAGGGGGAGGAAGGGAGGATAACAGAGAAAAACATATAGCTAAATAGAAACAATTTGAAAACTAGTTTGGGTACAATATCATTAATAAAACTTCCAAACTCTTGTTTAAAAAAAACTGCATGATTGAAAATATAGTCAAGGAAAATACATTTAAGGACATAAGAAATTAAAGGAAAGCAAAGTGTGTGTCTCTAGTTGTACACCCAAGCCTCACATAGCTTGCCACTGTCTTTACCACCCCAGCTCTGAGAAACATTTAACTTAGTGTTCAAGGCCCATGCACCATCGGCGACCCTTCTGTCCGCTGCACTGTGGTCTCTGTTTGATCATGTTTATTTACTATTGCATGTACTTGCCTCACTTCGACAACTGTGCATTGTCAGGGTGTCACCTTGTGGTGCCTTAGAGATTCCATCCCCAATCACATCATGAACTAAGTTTGTATGGAGTCAGTTAACAAACAAAACTGTTCACTAGCCTTGGGCGGAATGGCTGCAGTTACCTGGACCTCTGGCCGCTTCGGAATCGCTGCTGCTGCTTGTGTCCAGAATGATCGCCAGCCCCAGGGAGTTCGCCGGCAGGATGTGGCTGCTGAGGTCCACCCTCGTCAAGCTTCTGGGCTCCCAGGCAGAGCCCCCTGAGATGTTGTGGGGCTTGTCCTCTCCAGAAGCGTTTGTCTCACGACTTTTTCTCCACGGTCTCTGCACTATGTGAACTATGCTCTGCTGTTCCAGGTCACAGCTCTGGGGAGGAGCAGGCAGAGAGATAGAAATGGAAAGTGTTACACACAGGTGGAGCTTACTTGTCCCCAGTTGGAAAGTATGCAAACTAGTTTAAAGGCTACGTAACTTCCGTGCCTTAGTGGGAGTGGCAGTGGGTGGAAAACACGGTGTCTGATTGACTTAGAAACACTCTGCCAGTGTGGCCACAGCACTTACACACTGCATGTGACAGACACGTCACATGGGACTGGGGGTGGAAGTGGACATTTGAGGGGAAGGGGAACACAAAAACAGAAAACTATGGAAACATGAAAAGTTTATGGAGCCTAGTCGGAAAACAGATTAACTGTCTTAAGTGTCCTGCAAATGCTCATTTAAGACTGATTTACCTCTCAAGTGCTTTGTCCTTAACTTAAACTTAACTTAAACCCCCCTAGTCATTTCTGCTTTATAAAAGCACTGAAGGTCATGATCAATTACGGGCATTTCCGCACAGAATTATAATGACTGCTTGTGGCAGGTCGCATGCCTTTCTTCCTGTCCCTGCGGCCAGTAGCCTGCATTCTGTAGTACCAGTGGGACAGCTACTGAATGGCTTGTTTGCCCTTGTGATCAAACTCAGTGAATATTTACTATAGAACCTTTTGTGCTCCTGTCTCTTTCTTCATGAACAGGAGTCTGTAAAATCTAGAATAAAAATTAAGAGTTGATATTTGCTAAGGCAAGACCTAGACGACCCTAGGTCAAGTCCTACTTCAGAATAAGTCATAGAAGCATCGTTTTTCTGACATTTCTAACAGCTGGGACCTGGCTCGCTCTCTAATGCCCACATCTCTGTGTTCTTGTTGCTGTTCTCTGTCATTGTGGGAATGGTGGACAGATACCTGTGTACAATACAACCACCTAAAGGATGCAGTGCACTCTTCCTCCTTTGCTGTCTTCCTTGAGCAATCTCTTCATTGTTGCTATCAAATCCCTTCCAGAACGGTGACCTCTGCCACTCAACTATGGCTTGGTGTTGCTCTCTCTAGTCAGAGGTCATTAGAACATTACCATGCCAATGTTTTCCCATTCTCCAGCTCTGCCCACATTCCCAGGGTCTCCCCACAAGGGCTCCTACTAGAGTCACTATCTGCCACCCTCCTTATCATTCAAGAGGACAGCCCCCTATCATATGTACTGCCTGGCAACTCCTAAGGATCTCGGGGACCCCTAACCCCAGTTTTAATGCTGATTTCCATTCTCTGATATTGGTCAGGCTTCAGTCCCTGCGTGGGGCTTATCCTCCCTGCCTTGTGACATCCAGCAAGGTGTCCAGAGTGACTGAGTAGGCATCAGGAATAACCTTCTCGCCTCCAGTGCCCTCATGACCTCACTGTCACCTCCCCACATGAGGCCATCGTTATTATGATGACCTGGTAATTTTTCTCTATATGTCTGGTTTCTGCCTGTTCCAGCATGTTACATACAAGAATCTTTGGTGTGTATATCATACTATCACATGACTAGTGTATTTATTCCTTTCTCCTTTCCAGACCTTTGTCAAGCACTTTTTACGTCTTTCCTTGTGCAGAGGGCCATCCTCCACAAGTATCCATGGTCATGGAACTGTGTTAGTAGGCCCTCAACATGATCTTCCTCCCTGCCTACATTTTAGTTAGCCACGAGAATGACTTTACACTACTGATGTTAACATATAAGAAGGAACCGAGACTTGGAATGGGTTTGCCTGGCGGCTTGGGTCCTCCAACAGAATATGCTGAGAAGTTTTCTCTTCTACAGCTCGGGAGGCAGAGCTGTACGTGTGATGTAGCCTTAGTCCAGCCACAGAAGGGGCAAGTGCTGCCCCGAGTGAAGACCCCTTTAGACGAAGCTAGCCTTGGCCTCAGCCCCAGCCCCCTAATGACATGACGATGTGTGAGACCACAGATGTGGGGCAACTGCTCCTGGCGTTCTGTACTTGCTCCTTGGAAATAAAGGAGATGGCACCCCAATGTCCATCACACTGGAGCAGGAGCCACGCCATCAAGCTGTGTCTTGGAATGGGCTCTTATGTAGAATCCAGGAACCTCACACCCATAGCCAGAGTTCTGGCAGGCTGAGCACTAAGACCTGAGCACACTGAAGCACAGACAAGTGAAAAAAGAGCATTGCAAGAAGGAGGAGCAGACTGGGAAGAGGCCCTCAGCACAGCCATATCCCATGCTGTCTTCTTCCCCGGGAGACACAGGCTTATTCTGTTCTCCATGTTCAGAACTGAAGTCACTGAAAAAAAAAGTGGCACCTTTCTCATCTGAGTCCCCAGGTTTTTGCCTGCCAAGGTCAAATCACAGAGTTTACAGCTTAACTAGTGTGTGTGTGTGTGTGTGTGTGTGTGTGTGTTGGGCTGTGTGTGTATGCAGTATGTTATGTATGTTGTGGTATGTTGTGTGTGTGTGTGTGTGTGTGTGTGTGTGAGAGAGAGAGAGAGAGAGAGAGAGAGAGAGAGAGAGAGAGAGCTGATTTAAAAAATCAGAAAACGTTTATAGTAATGACTGATCATACTCACAAAGGCTTACGGAGCATTTTGAGCCCGAGGACGTGGGAACTGAAAAACTGAATGACTGAAGGAAAAACACTGAATAGATGAGTGAGTGTGAACAGATGAGTGAGTGTGAACAGATGAATGAGTGTGAACAGATGAGTGGGTGTGAACAGATGAGTGAGTGTGAACAGATGAGTGAGTGTGAACAGATGAGTGAGTGTGAACAGATGAGTGAGCGGCTGCATGGATGTTAAGGGCCCTGTGCCCTGTCCCTCCAGTGCTTCGTGGAAATCTAGCACAGTGAGGAAGGATCCACGAGGATCAGACACAATAGCCTTGCCTCCTCGGCGCTGATCAGTTTCTGTACACTGGGAGCATTTTCCCTCCCTCTGCTCTGCTTTCCATATCGGCGCTAATACTGTCAGCACTGAACCCTGTTCTGGAGACCGAGAGACATGTAAGGACACAATACACATCGTGCATCAGTCTTGAAAAAAGGAAGGCTGTGCCCCCTATATTGTAGATGACTGCGGCCTCAGAATTCTATTTAGTTGTTCCACTCCAAACATACAGAGAAGGAAGAACATGCAGAAAGTATGACTGTGGAAATTCTAGCAAAATCTCAGCTTTCTATGATCTAAAAATTAATTTAAAAACCACTCTTCCTGTGCGAGATTCCCTGGGATGCAAGAGGAGCCGGGCATATTATCTAGGGCAAACATGAAAAAAATCAGAGAGATGCGTCACACTCTCCTCTCACGTCCAGACTTTCCCGGCTTCCAGAAGGCTCTGTGAAGGGATTCGGTAGCTACAGTGGTATTTATAGAACATATTTCCACATCTCTATCCACGGTTCTGAGATCTGTAATTGCTTAATTCTTTAACTCTCTCACAGAAAGCACTGTTGATCTAGGGGTCCCCTTGCCAGATGGTGTGCTTGCATGTCATGCCAGCACAGCCCAGAGCCACACTAATGGCCAATCCCATGGACAATAAGCTGGATAAAGTTCAGCCGCGTGGCCATTCCAAAGCCGCAGCAATATGTACTTCACACAATATTCACAAACGCCTTGGATTTCAGACAGAGAGATTTTAGGTGGACAGAAAGAAAAGTGCAGTGATTCAGTATGATTGCAAAGTCCTTGGAGTAAAAACAATCTTTCCCCCCAAAACACTAAAATTCGTGGGAAAAAGGCAAAGCAAAGATGTTGCTTAATAAGCAGACAACAGCTGGGCGGTGGTGGCGCACTGCCACCTTTAACCCCAGTACTCAGGAGGCAGAGGCAGGCAGATCTCTGTGAGTTCAAGGCCAGCCTGATTTACAAGAGCTAGTTCCAGGAGAAACCCTGTCTTGAAAACAAAGAACCAGAAAACGTATACTCATTCTGTATTTGTTTATAATAACTCATTTCCCTCAGAATAAGGGCAGCAGCATGATTGTTTTGTGAGCAAAGCAAGCAGATAATATTCATCCATGTGGGCAAGGTCTTATGTTTCCATCAGAGCTGTGGTCCAGGCTGCCTCAGCAGGACCTTCCGTACAGTGTGAATCACTTTGGAAAATATACTGACTCTCATCCGGGCAGTCACTCTCTGATACCGCCCCCCCCCCAAACAAAACACAAAATCAGGTTTTCTCTTTCTTTTAAAAAAAAAAGGCCCTTTAGAAGGTACATTTTTAGGATTCAATATTTCAGTGCTTGGTACTTTAATTAAGACCCTGGAAACAAGAAACATTCTAAAAACTTGACGATGCTTATTGATAACACAACTCCTGCCCAGGGATAATTTTGGAAAGAGGGCAGAAAGGATGTAAGGGCCAGAGGATCAAGGAGTTCGCTGTGAGACTGTGTCTCCGAGGAATGTGAGGAGCTACACCCAGAAAGTCTCACCAGCATCACTGCCTGAACACAAGCTGATCAAGGAAAACACCAACAGACATGCCAACATGGACAGAGGAACGCTTAGCCCTACGCAGGAAATTTAGGAACAAAGGAATGCAGGCAGTGGAGGAACCATCTTCATATGACTGGTTATCCAATATGAAACGGTCAGCCTGAAAACATACATACAGTAACGTTATACAGACAGAACACGTTCTAGTTATGGATTTGGGAGTCTGTGTGTATGTTTGTGTGTGTGTGTTTATAAAGGAGGCAGGAGGGAGCTTGCATCTTCTTTGCCTTCTGTTCTTTTGGTGAAGGCAAATGCAGTCAGAGGCCCACACTAGACAGCCACCTTGCACTGAGCTTGGGCTTCCCAAACGGCAGGGCTGCCAGAAACAGATTTCTGTTCACTATAAATTTTCCAGTGTAAGGTATTTGTGTAGCAACATAATCTAGTCAAAAGCGATACTGTTAATGAGGCAGAGCTGTGCACATAAAGCTGACTGTACATCATTTATTGTGGCCACTGCTGCTCTTCTCTCTTCTACTGTGTGGAAGACAAGGAGCCACAGGGAAGTTAAAATCGGGCCTGAGGCCACCCAGTCTTCAGTG